CGCCCCTAGAGGACAGAGTGGAACTGCCCACAGGGTCTCCAAGGCTGTCAATCTTCACAGAAGCAAAGCCCAAACCACACCCACTGCCGTGCTGTCCATTCTGACCCACAGCGCCCCTAGAGGACAGAGTGGAACTGCACCACAGGGTTTCCAAGGCTATCAGTCTTCACAGTAGCCAACTGCCTTATCTTTCTACTGCAGAGCGGCTGGTGGGCTCAAATTGCCAGCCTTTTGCTTCGCAACCAAATGCTTTAACCACTGTGCCACCAGGGCTCCTTGGTAAGCCCTTGAGATGCAGCTATTCCCCTTCCTCGCACCCGTGCCCTGCCCCCAGCCTGCCCACTGGCTCCTCAGGCAGCTAGGAAACACCTCTCCAGAGGATTCTTCGCAGCTGGGGTGCTTTGTCCTCTGTACTCCAAAGCTGCCTTTGCACCTGAATGGCTGCAGAGGTCCATTACCACGGCAACAGGTTCTGTACTTCCTTCCCTCAGGGCCTCACCTGGAGGAGACCTGGTTCTCAGATGGCCTGGGCACCAGCCGGAGCTCCGCATGGAGATGTGGGTGGGAGGGGAGGTTCTGGGCTGGGACTCAGGTGGGGGCATGGCTGACCACCAGTGTGGGAGCAGTCATTACGTATGCATGTATGTGAGTGTGTACATGTGTGTACATGTGTGTGTGTTGCGTTGTGCATGCACGTGTTGTGTTCACACATGCACGTGTGTGCATGCTCATGCATGTGTGCAAGTGGTGTGCACACACGTTGCATTCACACATGCACAAGCATGTGTGCATGCTTATGCATGTGTGCACACACCTGTCCAGTTACACACCTGGACTTCTGTGCATTTTCCTGGGGAGAGTGCCCCCAGGAACATGTCAAGGGCACCTGTGCCCCCCGCCCCCTGTAGGAATCACCTGGATAAGTTGTCAGAGTGAAGCTGTCACCTGCTGGGCGTGAGTGGAAGGGCGACAGCCAGGCTGAGCCTTCAGACACCTGACTAGAGTGGAGGCAGCGGGTTCACGTGGGGGCTTCAGTGGAACGTGGCCAGCCTGGCTCCGGAGCTTCAGAAGTCCTTGCGAGGGTGCAGTGACCGCAGTTCCTGGGGTGCTGGCCTTTTAGGACAATTGTCATGATCACAGTAACAGTAAAACCGATTCACACTCAACAGGATGGAGGAATGAATGACTGAACCAGGAGAACGTGCTTTAAGAGAAGCAAACTACACACTTTCTCGATCGATAGAAAAGCTGGAATAAATGCAAGGACCACACATCATATTCTCGGACCTGGGGTTAAAGGTGGCAGTGGGAATCCCTGTGGATTCATTTACAAGTGCGATACTATGATCATCAAAATGTCAAAAGGTCGCTCTTTTCAGACTGGTAACTGTGCACTGTCATCGGCAAGAATAACAAATTACACAGGCACAGGTATGTTCGTGTATCTATGACAATCCACACACACAGTTTTCTAAGGTCCGATGACAGGTTGTTGTTGTTGTGTGCCATCGAGTTGGATCTGACTCATAGCGACCCCTCCTTGGGTTTCCGAGGCAGTATCACTATGGAAGCAGATTGCCCAACCTTCCTTCCGAGGAGTGGCTGGTGGGTTTGAACCACCAGCCTTTTGGTTAGCAGTCACATGCTTTAGGCACTATACTACCAGAGCTCCTAAGGAGACTCCTTAAATATGAGGTTGTAAGAATGAGAACAACCATGGGTACCGAGAGGAGTCTGAGTGTGAGACTGGGTGCAAGAAACAGGACAAGCTACTGCGCGCCACAGAGAACTCTCCAAACATCTTGAATTGGTAAGACATGCATGTGAGAAAAGATCCAAAGGTGCCCACCAACTCCCTCCTTGCCACCCAGACCCCTCGGGCCACTCCCCAGAGACCAGGGCTTCTATGAACCTGGTAATTGTTTTCAAATCCGAAGAAAACAAACAGAAAGGTGTCCTCTTCCGTGTTAGTAGCCGAGCGGAGGAGAGAATGACCTTTTCAATAAGGTAGAGATTATCTTTAACGGGCAGGTATGGCTTCCAAATGAAACAGTCATCCTTCAGAAATACAGCCTTTAAAAAACAAAGGACGATGAGTTCACACAGATCAGTTACAAGAGAAAAAGCTTATGGACGCAAGCACTGATGGGCAAAGGCCCAGACTGTGCGCAAAGCTTGCACACGGGGTGGAAATTCATAGCGAGCAGAGTCCCGCCTCTGGTCGATCACTCAGGCAGAGCACACCCTCGGTTTCTCTTAAGTGACAGAGACTGACGCGGGCACAGTTGTCAAGAGAGGACGCTTAGTCACAGCAGGCTGACAGGTAACCGTGGCCCTCCTCCGGCCTGGGCCGCAGTGTTGACAAAGACCTTGAGCGTCCACGGAGCCGGGGGGCGCCCCGGCTGGTTAGCAGCACCTGACGCTGGCAGGGCTGCGGTGGGGGTCTGCCCCCATTTTCTGCCCCTGCCCACTCCCTGCTGCGGGACACAGGGCACAATCCCTTCAGAAACAAGTCTGGCAGTACCATTACGGGTTCAATTGAAAATAATGGCCACTATAATGTCCGCTTTGAGTAGGAGTTTTATTCAGGCTAGCCGGCCGCAGGCAGCTGAAACACGCTCCCTGCCGCGGTGCCCCAGTCTTGCAGGGGCTGTTTATAAAGGCTGAAACCGCGGGCGCGCACGTTAGGGGAGTGGTTGCAAGCATAGTACGGAAGCACACGCTGCGGTTAGTTCCATAGGGTATGTCCTGTGGGGTACATTCCGGGAACATGAAGTATCCGTTGGGTTCAAGAACTTTAGGGCTGGTTACATTCTGAGACTAGGTGGTGCTCTAGGCTAAAGCTGTTTATCGGGGGGTGTAGAGTGTTGGCTCTGGGCAAGGGGTGTGGGCTGGGGTGAGGGGTGTTTGGTTTAGATAGCCACTTCACAGCGACATGAAAATAACAAAGAACGTGTTTAATATGTTAGCCACTTCAGTACCTTTCACCGTAAACGGTCTTCACATCTCCACTGTGCTGTCCCTTTCTGGGAGTTCAGCCAAAGAGGCCAAGATAGGCAGAGCGCTTTACGCTCTGCGCCATGGCAGCCGCTGGAACTTGGTCCTTACGGAGTCAGCGAGCAAGAGAACGCTGGTCTCTGACTGTACATGGGGACCCACACTACGCATGTTGCTGCTGTTACGTTGTTAGGTGCCTGGAGTCAGCTCCGACTCAGTGACCCTACGCACAGAATGAAAACCCTCAGCAGAGAAAAGAGTATTTGTCGAAAGCAGACCAAGATAAAATCCCAGCCACGGACAACTGTCCTTACGGCACGCTTGAGGACAACAGGAGTTCAAATCTGGGATCTGTGTACGGGGGATGTGAGACCCAACGCACAGAAAAGGCGGTTCAGGGTTGGTTACGTTCTGAGACTAGGTGGTGCTCTGGCCTACAGCTGTTTATCGAGGTAAACAGCTGTTCCCCTGTTCCACATTTTCACCCCCAGGCTGTACTCTTTCTGGGAGCAGATCGCCAGTTCTTTTTTTGCATGGAGCCACTGGGTGGGTTCAAACCACCAACCTCTCGGTTAGCCTCTGAGCACTTAACCAGTGCTCCAACAGGGCTCTGCTAGGTGGGGGAGGCCGAAGGTGGTCCGGGAGGATAATAGGAAGATAAGACGAAGCGTGGCGCCGGGCGGTGGTTTACAGTTCTGCAGTGAACGAACTGTCGCTAATTAAACTTTTCAATTTAAAAGCTGTACAAAGCCGTCTGTCACAGCTACAGGTGGTGTCTGGCCGGCGCACAGGTGCTATGCGGCCTTCCCGGAGCCCGGCCCAGGACCGCGGCGAAGGCGAGCTGGGGCACCTCCTAAGGTGGGGAGCGTCAGGCGGCCTCGGGGAGAAGGGCTGAGACTGCACCTCAGGCCGGTGCCTGCAAGGCCTCCGACCCCTTCTTCTCCGCCAAAAGGGGCTCCTCTACCGGGGAACACAAACTCAGGCCATGGGCCCTGGGCTGGCCTAGCCAAGCGTCTAGGGCTCTAAGGCAGCTGACGACCCCTCCTTAAACTCTCAGCACTGACACCGCGATGCTGCACATGTTCCCATCGGGGTCTCACAGCCCGTGTCCAGTCCCTGGCGCCCCAGCCTGACTCCCGTGTGTTATTTCCTGAGACCGTCCACACTGCAGATCCTTCAAGGAGAAAGAGCAAAGTGGGGCAAAGTCGAGGGGCTTATCCTAGACAGAGAAAAACAACACGTTGAGATGGGGCCAGGCTGTGGCCAGGGTCGGCCCAAAGCCTGTGAGAGACCCAGGTTTTTGGGCTCAGAAATCCCCCGGCTGAGAATTTCCCCTTAGGACACAAGGCCACTGGAAAGACACTAGAAACGATTAGGCAAATGTCATCACCCAAGGAATAAAGAGAAGAAAGAGAACGGGGAACTGTGTGTCAAACCCAGTCTCAACTCACAGCGCCCCTAGAGGACAGAGTGGAACTGCACCACAGGGTCTCCAAGGCTGTCAGTCTTCACAGAAGCAAAGCCCAAACCACACCCACTGTCCTGGGGTCCATTCTGACTCACAGCGCCCCTAGAGGACAGAGTGGAACTGCCCAGAGGGTTTCTAAAGGTGTCATCTTTACGGGAACAGACTGAAGAGCAGGAGGGCCCTGGGTGGCACTAACGGTTTGGGCTCATCCACTAACTAGAAGTCTGGTGGCTCGAATCCAGCCGGTGACTGTGTGGCAGGCCTGGTGGTCTGCTCCCGTAAAGACTGGCAGCCTGAGAAACCCCATGGGCCAGTTCTACTCTGTCTTATGGCGTCACCATGAGTCTGAACTGACTCAATGGCAGTGGGTTTGGTTTTTCTAAGAAGAGCAGGGCCAAAAGCGTCAGATGTTTTAGGAGGTGAGTAGGGAAAGCAGGGGACGCACTTCTACCTTTCCTTCGAGAGCCCACCAGCAAAGCAGCAGGTGGAAGGCCAGAGTAACACGGAGGTGGCCACTGTCGCGGTTGGCTTACGAGCCCCACAGGAGGCTGCCTTTCAGCTTCTGAAGCCTGGGGGCAGCAGCGGGTGCCTACTCCACCTGCTGCCAATGTCTGCGGATGGCCGCCGAGGTGACCGCATGCTGGCACTGTCACCGCTGTGGCAGGAGAGAAGTACGAGGGCAGAGTTAGACGGCATCATCAAACCAGTCTAAGTTAGTCTTGTCTAGTTCTAGTCTGAGGCTCTTGCACTTTCTCTGCTGCTATTGTTGGGGGTCACAGAGCCCGTTTTCAGCTCATAGGACCCAACGTGGCAAAGCAGAACTACCCCGTAGGGAGTGTGTGTGTGTGTGTGTGATTTGGGTGGAAGTTGCCAAAGCAAGTTGGTTTTCCCTGCAGTAATCCACACACGTTGTTTTGTGACATTCACTGCAATCTCCACACTGTAACAGCGTTCTGCCCACTTCCTCCCTGTGCCCACCCCTTCCCTTCACCCTTCCTCCCCATCCCCTCCCGCCTCCCTAGCTCTGTCCCCGGGCACGTGCTGTCCTCTGGATCTCACGCTTGACTGTGCTAATGGGTGCACACCCCCCTGACGCTACTCCTCACCTTACAGGTCGGTCCCTCCGTTGTTCAGCTGACAGCTGAGTCACACGGGTTAAGTTCGGTTCCTAGCTTGAAGGGTATCTCAGGACCATAGTCTCAGCGGTGCCACCAATCTCCATCAGGCCGGTAAACCTGTCTTTTTCACGACTTTGAGTTCTGTTCCACATTTTCACCCCCAGGCTGTAATCTTTCTGGGAGCAAATCGCCAGTTCTTTTTTTGCAGGGAGCCACTGGGTGGGTTTGAACCACCAGACTCTCGGTTAGCAGCTGAGCACTTAACCAGTGCTCCAACAGGGCTCTGCTAGGTGGGGGAGAATGAGGAACGAACAGGCATTTCAACGGCAAGTTGAGTAAGAGCACTCAGGCTGCAGGCCTGCAAGCCACAAGTGTTTGACGAGGTCCACAGAGTCAGGCTCTGCCCCCTGCAGCCCCTCCCTGCCTGTGTCTCCACCCTGTGGGGGGGCTCCTGGAGGCTCTGCCTGCTCCAGGTGGTGGCAGACAGGGGCACACCAGCTGCCGCCGGAGCAAGTCTGACTGACACTCAGACAAAGTCTGACTGACACTCAGACAGATCCATAACCACCGAGGTAACAGTCATCCCGCACAGCCAGACGCCCTAACCCCACTCTGGGAAACGAGGTCTTGGATTGGTGCAGTAAACACTCTTCCAGGGACTCTTTCTGCCTCCTGCTCCCGTCGTGAAATACAACACACTCTGTGTGCCCCGCCCGAAATCCTCCGGCCACCTCCCAACACTGTGAGGTCAGGGCCATTCTCCTGCCGCACAGGGCCTGTCAGTCGCGGTTGTACAGTGTGGCACACCGGCTGGGTCCTCTTGGCTGCAAGACCCATTGGCCGGGACAGTCACTTCCCCTGGAGCTGCCAGGCTTCAGGCTCCGCCTCTGAGCCCCCCACCCCCCACGGTGCCGGGAGCTTTGTTCACACCGTCGTTCCCCTGTGAGCACTTCTTTGTGCCCCCCAGTCTGAGCACTCTCTGTTTGAGGTGTGTGGCAGTGGGTATCCTTGGCAGCTCTCTCTTACTCCTGCCCATGATGACAAAGAGAAGGCTCCAGATGGGAGCCAGCAGAGCCCCGGTGGCACAACAGTTAAGTGTTTAGCTGCTAAGCGGAAGGTGGGCGGTTCAAATTCACCCAGTGGCTTCATGGAAGAACCATCTGACGATCTGCTTCTATAAAGATTACAAGCTAGAAAAACCCTGTGGGCGGTTCTGCTCTGGCCCACGAGGTCACTGGACGCTGGATTCAACTCGACAACACACAACAAAGACAACAATCCCGAATCACCAGAGAAATGGCTGTCAGGACCTCACCCGAAGGAACCGTTCCACACCCCCTGGTACTGTAAGTCTCCCCGTCTGACTCAACCTGCGACAAGGGTGGGTTACCAATGAGCAGGGGGCTGGAGGCGGTACTGGACTGTGCTTTCCCTTCAGAGAGCCTGATGGCACAAATCAAGAACAGCAGGGTCCCCGTTCCTCCTCTGTCACCTATCACCTTGGTGAAGTCCTGGAGTCTGAACCAGGATCGCCCCGTGCGAGGCACGTCACGTCTCCTCCAAGAAGCAACGAGGCTCCATCTAGGTACAGCTTGTAAATCACTTCAACGTGCACAACGTGGCCACATGCCAGACTGTGGGTGGCGGATGCAAACCCGTCCGTGAAGAGTCAGGCAACACTCAGGAGCCCCACTGCTCATGCTAAGTTTTCCTCTGAGGCGTCAAGTCCAAGTTCTTCATTCAGTGAACGCCACTGAAGGCGGGCAGTCTACTAGCTAGCTTCTGATGCAGTAGAAACAGTCTTTGTAGGCTCCTCACACGTGAACGCTGAGACATGCTAAACCTACTCTCGGAAAAAGGCTGTCCAACACCCTTGTGGCCACCACTGCTTTCTGACCACACCATGGGAGATTGTTGACTATTTAAGAGGGTGTGAGGTTTGGTGGAAGGCACTCAGGTGGTGCAATGCTTAAGTGCGCAGCTGCTGAAAGGTTGGGGGTTCTAGCACACCAGCTGCTTCCATGGGACAAATATGAGCAGTCCACTTGGGTGAAGACTGACAGCCTTGGAGACCCTGTGGGCAGTTCCACTCTGTCCTCTAGGGGCGCTGTGGGTCAGAATGGACTCCAGGGCAGTGGGTGTGGTTTGGGCTTTGCTTCCCTAAAGATTGACAGCCTTGGAGACCCTGTGGGCAGTTCCACTCTGTCCTCTAGGGGCGCTGTGGGTCAGAATGGACTCCATGGCAGTGGGTGTGGTTTGGGCTTTGCTTCCCTAAAGATTGACAGCCTGGGAGACCCTGTGGGTCAGAATCCACTCCAGGGCAGTGGGCTTGGAGGCCTGCTGGCAGGCCTTCTCATGTTCCCAGCACAGGCAGGGTCCCTCCCGTATGAACATGTTGGGGAAGCAGGCTTCTCAAGGGGACCCGGCGGTGGTGTTGGTCTCCTGCAAGTGGCGCTGGTAGTGCTGCGTGAGGTGGGAGGGCTGGCTGAAGCAGCGCCCACACAGCTGGCACTGGAAGGGCGTCTCGGTGGCGTGAACGCGGTAGTGCTGGATGAGGTGGCAGCTGCGCTCAAAGGCCTTGCCGCAGTCGCAGCACCGGCAGGCTCTTTCCTCATAGGGCTGCCTTCGCAGGTAGCGGATGGAGTATGCTTTGGGGACCGGGGGTGGCTCTGGGGGAAGAGCTTTGGCCACCTCATGGGCTTGGAGGTGTTGGAAGAGGTGCACCTCCCGGATGAAAGCTCGGCCACACTTGGGACACTCGGAGTAGCCCTTCTGGCGGCAGCCCTCCATGGGTCCAGGGGGCAGCCTGTCTGCACTGCACCCAGGGGGCTTCTCCCCGGGAAGGCGCTGCTGGCGGCTGGCGAGGTGTGGTGGGAGGTGCAAGGCTTCGCCACGTGGATCACCTGGGCACACGTGCCCCTCAGGGCCCCTCTGGGCCTGGAAGGGCCTTCGCTTCTGGAGGGAAGGCGTGTGGCACACTGGGACCCCGGGAGCAGCCCTGCCCTGAGGAGCTTCTGCTGGAGGGGGCTCTGGTCGCTGAGTGAGACCCCAGGCTGGACCACGGCCACCTTCCTGAGTGAGGGGCTGGGACTCTGGTCGCTGAGTGACACCCCAGGCTGGTCTGTGGCTGTCATCCTGAGTGAGGGGCTGGAACTCTGGTGGCTCATTGAGACCCCAGCCTGGACGGCCACCTTCCTGAGTGAAGGGCTGGGACTCTGGTCGCCGACTGAGACTCCAGGCTGGACTGTGGCCATTGTCTTGAGTGAGGGGCTGCGGCTCTGGTCCCCGAGTGAGACCTTGGTCTGGACCATGGTCATCCTCCTGAGTGAGGGGCTGGGGCTCGCTAGGTGGCACGGGACCCCGCGGCTCCTCCAGGCTGTCTAGCTGCCATTCCCAGCACCAGTCAGAGAATTCTCTTGCGTGGCCACCCGCGGCTGGCTCCTCTGCTCCTGCCCCCAGGGGTGGGCTGTGCTCTTCGCTTTCAGGGCTCATCTCATAATCTAAAAGAAAGTTAGAAGTTCCTCTACTCTTCTTTCACTTAGAGAGACACAGCACTGTTGCCAAAGTCATGGGGGGTTGGGAAGCCCATCACAGAAACTGAGGAAAAAGACCAAAGATGACAGATCAGAGAGCTCAGGCAGGTTTGAGGGTTTCCTGGACAACGGGGTCACCAGGTGGTGCAAACGGGGACTGTGCTCAGCTGCTGAGAGGCTGGGGTTCCGAGTCTACTCGGCACCTCGGAGGGAAGGCCTGGCTACCTCATCTGGAAGAGCAGTCACTGGGTTCCTGCGGAGCACAGCTCTGACCCACCAGGGTCACCGGGAGTCTGGGTCGGCCTGGTTCCAACGGCTGATCTTAGGGACCGAATGGGAAAGGGAAGGTAGGGCAGAAGCGAGGCAGGGGGTCAGAGGCAGAAGAGAGACCTCCGGGCGGGCTGCCCGCCAACAAAGACACCAGGGGAATGTGGAGAGGAGAACTGGAGGCGAGCAGAGAAAGAGCCGGAACAGGCTCGCGGGCGGCTCCCACACCGTGCCCGCTCCGTCACTGCTGCTCTCGTCGTGTGCCGTCAAGTCAACTCCAACTCACGGCGACCCTGTGTGACAGACCAGAACGGCCCCACGGGGTCTTCTATGCTGTGGCCTCTATGGGACAGGGTCAACAGGTCTTCCTTCCGAGGAACTGCTGGCGGGCTCCACCGCCGCACCACCAGACCCCCTCGTCCCCTTGGTCACCAGCTGGAGTCTGCTCGGGCTTCCGCTTCTCCACCCACACGGGAGACGCCGGCCCTGTCCCTGGCTCCGCAGCAGGGGAGGCAGCGGGGAGCGGTCACAGCACTAGACTGTCCTCTGGACACAGTGGCTGGCTCAGGAACGGGCCGTGACCCAGTGAGGACCAGTGGAAACCAGAGAGCGTGCCAGGGCTTCTGGAAAGATGCTCCCTTCGCTTCAGAGAGCTCCTGGGACATACCTGCCCCCTCTCTCTTTTCGCCTGCTTGCTCTGCGGACACACCTGCTCTGTCTGCCTGTCTCACTCACTTGCTCTATGGACACACCTGCTCGCTCTCTCTTCCTGTCTCACTCACTCACTCTATGGACACACCTGCTCCTTCCCCTGCTCACTCTATGGACAGGAACAAGCACACACACCATCTAGGACTTGTTGGCCAAGTTGAAAGAGAATACGGACCTGGGCCCTTGAGGACACCACTGAGCCCCAAACTCCAGCCACCCCTGAAGCCCAACTGACTGGTATTGGATGAGAGTGGACGGTATTACACAGAACTGTAGGCTAACAGTCCCCTCGGTGGCATATGCCAGTTTCAGCGGGCTCTATGTTAACTGCAACTGAAGGAGGACGGTTATCCCGGCCGACACACACACTATCCCAGCTCACAGGGAGGATTTCCTGAGGCATGGTAACCGTCACCAGGTTGCAGCATGTGGTTTTGGGAAGGTAGAGTCTAGACGGGTCTTACCCTCGGGCTGGCAGGATGCTTGTGGGGATCTCTGGGAAGGTTCAGAGCGGCCTGTGTAGGCGTGTCTGCCAGCAGAGCGGGTGGGATGGAAATCGGGTGGCGGGGGTTAAACTGAACAGGAATGGGAGGAACCTCTGGGCCTCACCAAGTCCGAGTAGTTGCTGTGAGGGAACACGGGAGGTAGCCAGGAAGAGAGGTGGTTATCACACCCTTGTCTCTGCTTTTCTCAGTGAGAGAGGAAAGTCATGAACAACTGAAGGCATTGGAACACCAGAGAGAGAGGGGACACTGGGGGGGCCAGGGCTGCAGACAGAGACAAGCTTCAGAAAGAAGATGGAAGGAGTGTCTGAGGGGAGTGACCACGTGAGCAACTGGAGTGAGAGCCCCGGCGGGGTGGGCTCTGCGGAGAGCTCCCTGACCAACAGGTCCCAGCCTCCCTCATGACTCACCATGAAATGCCATTGCTTCGCTGTCTCTCTGCATCCGACATGACTCCTCATCCTCTAACTTTGATATAAGGTCTGGCTTGCAGCACCGATGCCCTGTTGCAGAAGCATGACTCGTCACAAGGGATTCCCAGCCCTGGGTGCTCACAACTTGGGGACATCACCACAGAGTGACTATTATTAGAACAGCAGAACTGAAGCGTTGGAAAAGATCAGCTTCTCTGGCTGGGCCTTGGTAACCCAACCCACTGCCATCAAGTTGATGCCAACTCACAGCGACCCTACAGGACAGAGTAGAACTGCCCCATAGGGTTTCCAAGGTTGTCAATCTTTATAGCCTCATTTTTCTCCTGTGCAGTGGCTGGTAGATTTGAACCATTGACCTATTGGTTGGCTGCTGAATGCTTTAACCACTGTTCCACCAGAGCTCCTCTGCTGGAAGCAATTCAATAATAGGAAGGAATAATTTTTTTTTAATGCTATGTTGCTGTTGTTAGGTGCCATTGAGTCGGCTCTGACTCATAGTGACCCTACATACAACAGAATGAAACGCTGCCCAGTCCTGTGTCAGCCTCACAATCCTTCTATACCTAAGCCCACTGTGGCAGCCACCGTGTCAATCCATCTCGTTGAGGGACTTCCCCTCTTTCTGGGACCCTCCACTTTACCAAGCATGAGATCCTGCAGGGAATGGTCCCTTATGACAACATGATCAAGGTAGGTCAGATGAAATCTGGCCATTCTCACTTCCAAGGAGCATTCTGGCTGCATTTCTTCCAGGACAGATTTGTTAGTTCTTTAAACAATCCCTGGTATTTTCAGTATTCTTCACCGACACCACAGCTCAAAAGCATTGACTCTTCTTCGGTCTTCCTTATTCACTGTCCAGCTTTCACATGCATATGAGGCTACTGAAAATATTATGGCTTGTGTCAGGCTCACCTTAGTCTTTAAGGAGACGTCTTTGCTCTTCCGCATTTGAAAGGTCTTTTGCAGCAGATTTGCCCAGCGCGATACATCATCTGATGTCTTGACTACTGCTTCCATTGGTGTTGATTGTGGAACCAAGTAATATGAAATTTTTGACAACCTTAGTCTTTTCTCCATTTATCATGATGCTGCTTACTGGCCCAGTTTTAAGGATTTCCACTTTCTTTATGTCAAGGTGTAATCCATACTGCAGGCTATAGTCTTCAATCTTCATCAGTAAGTGCTTCAAGTCATCCTCACTTTCAGCAAGCAAAATTGTGTCATCTGTGTATCGCAGGTTGTTAATGAGTCTTCCTTCAATCCTGATGCCACATTCTTCATATAGTTCACCTTCTCGGGTTATTCGCTCAGCATACAGACTGAGTAAGTGTGGTGAAAGGATACAACCCTGACACAGTCAATTCCTAATTTTAAACCACGCAGTATCCCCTTGTCTGTTCAAACAACAGCCTCCTGGTTAATGTACAGGTTCCTCATGAGTACAATCAAGTGTACTAGAATTCCCATTCTTCTCAATGTTATCCATAATTTGTTATGATCCACACAATCAAATGCTTTTTCATAGTCCATAAAACACAAGTAAATATCTTTCTGGTATTCTCTGCTTTCAGCCAAGATCCATCTGACATCAGCAATGATATCCTTTATTCCACGTCGTCTTCTGAATCCAGCTTGCATTTCTGGATGTTTCCTGTCAATATACCATTTTTTAATTATCTTCAGCAATATTTCAGTTGTGTGTGATATTAATGCTATTGTTCAATAATTTCCACATTCTGTGGGATCACCCTTCTTTGGAATGAGTACAAATATGGATCTCTCCCAGTCAGTTGGCCAGGTAGCTGTCCTCCAAATTTTTTGGCATAGAGAAATGAGTGCCTCCAGTGCGTCATCTGTTTGTTGAAACATCTCAATGGGTATTCCGTCAGTTCCTGGAGGCTTGTTTTTCACCAGTTCCTTCGATACAGCTTGGACTTCCTTCAATACCATTGGTTCTTGATCATATGCCACTTCTTGAAATGGATGAACATCGACAAGTTCTTTTTGGTACAGTGACTCTGTGTATTCCTTCCATCTTCTTTTGATGCTTCCTGCATCATTCAATATTTTGCCCACAGAATCTTTCAATATTGTAACTTGAGGCTTGAATTTTTCCTCAGTTCTTTCAACTTGAGAAATGCCAAGCATGTTCTTCCCTTTTGGTTTCTAACTCTATGTCTTGGCACATTTCATTATAATAATTGACAGTCTTCTCAGGCTGCTCTTTGAAATCTTCTGTTCAGCTCCTTTATCTTGTCATTTCTTCGGTTTGCTTTACCTGTTCTCTATTCAGGGGCAAGTTTCAGTCTCTTCTGACATCTGTTTTTGTCCTTTTTTCCCTTCCTGTCTTTTTAATGACATTTTGCTTTCTTTGTGGATGATGTTCTTGATGTCATCCCACAATTCATCTGGTTTTTGGTCATTAATGTTCAATGCATCAAATCTGTTCTTTAGATGGTCTCTAATTTCAGACGGGATATAATCAAGGTCATATTTTGGCTCTTGTGGACTTGTTTTAATTGTCTTCAGCTTCAACTTGAACTTGCATATGAGTAGCTGATGGTCTGTTCCACAGTCAACTCCTGGCCTTGTTTTGGCTGAAGACACTGAGCTTCTCCATTGTCTCTTTCTGCAGATGCAGTCAATGTGATTCCTGTGTATTCCATCTGGGAAAGTCCACATGTATAGCCACTGATTATGCTGTTGAAAAAATGTATCTGCAATGAATAAGTCATTGGTCTTGCAAAATTCCATCATGCGATCTCTGGAGTAATTTTTATCACCAAGGCCATATTTTCCAACTATCCTTTGTTTCCAACTTTTGCATTCCAATCACTAGTAATAATCAACACCTCTTGATTGAAATGTTTGGTCAATTTCATACTGCAGAAGTTGGTAAAAATCTTCAATTTCCTCGTCGCTGGCTTTGGTGGTTGGTGTGTAAATTTGAGTAATAGTAGTATTAACTGGTCTTCCTTCTAGGCATATTTATATTATCCTATCACTGACAGCATTGTACTTCAGGATAGATCTTGAAATATTTTTTGTGACAATGAATGCCACACCATTCCTCTTCAATTTCTCATCCCTGCATAGTAGACCGTATGGTTGTCTGATTCAAAATGGCCAAAACCAGTCCATTTCCATGCTCTAATGCCTAGGATATTGATCTTTACGTGTTCTATTTAATTTTTGACAACTTCCAATTTTCCTAGATTCATACTTTGTTCATTCCATGTTCCAATTATTAATGGATGTTTGCAGCTGTTTCTTCTCATTTTGAGTCATGTCACATCAGCAAATGGAGGTCCCGAAAGCTCTACTCCATCCACATCATTAAGGTCGACTCTACTCTGAGAAGGCAGCTCTCCCCCAGTCATATTTTGAGTGCCTTCTGACTTGAGGGGCTCATCTTCTGGCATTATATTGGACAATTTTTCAAGGCTATTCCTGAAGTCTTACAGTACTATATCAGGCAGTGTTTCACTGCTATTCATAAGGTTTTCACTGGCCAATTCTTTGAGAAGTGAATGGCCTCTTCCTTCTTCCAAGCCTGTCTTTGGAAACTCTGCTGAAACCTGTCTGTCTACTATGGGTGACCTTCTGGCATCTGAAACACTGGTGCCATAGCCCCAGCCTCACAGCAGCACGAAAGGACCACAGTACAACGAACTGACAAACTAGTGGTCTGTCATAAATATTATAGCCAATTAAACCCCATGGAGCAGTTCTACTCTGTAACACACGGGGGCGCCGTGGGTCAGGATCGACAGTCTCCTGGCTGATAGACAGGATATCTACTAACCCAAAACCTTCAGTGTTATGTGAAGCCAAGAACTGACAAGGAAAGAAGAACTCTGGTGACACACTGCAAAGGCTGGAAAAGAGAAAAGTGATCTGCCCCCACTGTCCTGAACTGTTCCCTCTACTAGAAATCATAAAGGGTGGTGATTGACAGAAGGGTGTAACATATGGTGGAAAGCGTTCCCTCTGCCTCTGCCCTATGAAAGTCATGGTCAAGTTACACAGCCTCACCCTTAACGATCAGTCCCTGGATGCCACAAGCAGCTTGCACTCAGCTGCTAACCAGAAGGCTGGCGGTTCCAATTCACCCTGTGGCCTGGACATCTGCTTCCATAAAGGTCACAGCCAAGAAAACCCCGTGGGGCACTTCTGCTCTATCACACGGGGTCACTATGAGTGGGAATCGACTCAACACCACCCAACAACAACCCTTAAGAATAGTTCCCCGGGTGGCTTATGCAGTCTACCCTTGACTTCTAACCTAAGGGTTGGTAGTTTGAATCTACCCAGTGGTGCCACTGAAGAAAAGTCTGGTGATCTGACTCTATAACCAGGACAGCCAGGAGAACCCCACGGAGCTTGGTTCTAGTCTGTTACACACTGGGTCACCATGAGTCAGAATCAAGTCCACAGCAACAGGTTACCCTTGAGGTGAGGCATTTCCTTCTCCCCGCGGAGGTCTCCAAAAATAAAAGCACCAAGGTCCTGCCGCCTGGCATTGTTTGGGTGTCAGTTTTTGTACCCCAGGGTACCTCAGGCCCCCGGAGAGGCAGTGGAAAGGCGACCGTGGGGCTGGCGATGGAAACAGTGACTGGGGGAGCCAGTCCTGCCTCCAGGTGTGAACAGGGACTGGCAACCTTGGCTCCTGTGCTCCTGGGATTTTCAGGGTTCCTTCACTCGCCTGAGGAGCTCTGATGGTGCTGTGAGAAAAGCATAGGGCTGCTAACCAAAAGGTCAGTAGTGCAAACCCACCAGCTGCTCCATGGGAGAAAGATGAGGCAGTCTGCTTCCATAAAGACTACACCCTTGGACACCCTCTGGGGTAGTTCTACTCAGTCCTACAGGATTACGAGCTGGAATCAACTCGATGGCAGTGGGTTTGTTTGTTTTTTTTTTTAACGTAACTTTTTCCTTAGGGTACTGAATATTCCATTCAGAAGAGGTAGCTCATGTTTCTCTACTACTCCCACTGGGGGACAATGAATTTACCTCTGAGACTTCACTGCCTCAGGTGACACAGTGACTGGGCCTTCGTTGTGGTGCTGAGCCCCTTGGGGACCACGTGCATGCGCAAGGCCCTCAGTTTGTGTCAGCTGCTGCTCGCCATGACCCCAAGTGACAGAGGGGAACTGCCCCATAGGGCTTTCTAGGCTGTCATCTTTACGGAAGCTGATCGCCAGGTCTTTTTCCTGTGGAGCCACTGGTGGTTTCGAACCACCGACCCTTCAGTTAGCGGCCGGGTGCTTCAATATTGTGCCACCAGGGTTCCTTAGTGTAAGGATTAAAGGAGTGAAAACACGTGATACGTTCAGATCAGTGCCTGCTGCATACTGAGTGCTTGAGAAACGGTAGCTGTTCTGTGACTAACAGGATCTAACAAGTCCTGTGATATAAAACACTGCGTCGGAGCTGGAATGAGACCCATCACCGTGGCAAACCCCGGTACTGACAGTACAGTGAGAGTGGAGACTCCCGCTCTCCTGCGCAGAAACCGGAAACCGGGCGCGTAGAGAGCACACTTACCCAGGGAGACCAGGTTGCGGTAATTCTCCAGCGTCACTTGCCGGTAGAGGTCCCACTGATCAGCACTGAGGTACCTCAACTCCTCCGGACTGAAGTCCACAACCACATCCTGGAAGGTCACCAACCCCTGAAACACCGGAAAAGCTCCTGAGGGTCCCCAGCTTGTCACGGGGGGTGGGGAAGGAGCCCACAGGAAGGGGCACTGGGGCAGGCAGAGAGCTGCTGCATGTGAGTCCCAGGCACCCAGCAAGGCACCTCCTTGTCCTCTGGTCTGTGGGAGGCAGGAGCGTTTTTAAGACTGTTGTTGTTGCTGCTTTGCCGTTGAGTCAGCCCTGACTCACAGCGACCCCTCCTTGGGTTTCCGAGGCAGTATCACTACGGAAGTAGACTGCCCCATCTTCCTTCCGAGGAGTGGCTGGTGGGTTTGAACCGCCAGTCTTCTGGTTAGCAGTCAAGTGCCTTAGGCACTATGCTACCAGAGCTCCTTCTTTTTTTTTTTGAGACTAGGTGGTACAAAGGGTTTGTGCTCGACTGCTGACCTAAAGGTTGGTGATTCGAACCCACCAGCTGCTCTGTGGAAGAAAGGCCTGGCCACCTGAGCCAGAAAGTTCACAGGCAAGAAAACGCCACGGAGCAGTCCTACTCTGGTGCATGGGTCACTGTGAGTCAGAAGTGACTCGGTGATGACAGGAACGTACCTCCACGTGCTAAACACTGAAGAGCCGAGTTGGGGGGAAGGATCCGCTGCAGCCAAGTGAGCGAGAAGTCCCATAACTTCATACTGAGCAGTGCACCCTCCACCTCAGGAGTCAGGGAGAGCACGCTTCCACTCCTGGCTCCAGCGTGTACGCGCTTCGGGAGTCTGAGGTTAAACCTCCACATCTTGCTCGAGACACACAATGAGCTGATAAACACGAAGGCACTCAAACTTACTAATCAACGGTGAGATGCTAATCAAAATGACAAGTGTCATTTTATGCTCACTCAAGTGACAAAAAGCAAGAAGTCTGACAACCAAATCTTAACAGAATGTGGGTCCCCAGGACTCTCAGGGAATCCTATTCCTTGGTGCGATTTACTCTCAGGTACTGGGAGACATGTACAGGTATGTTCATAACATCCCAAACATGGAAACAACTCAAAACCCCCTTTACAGTAAAACAGACATGCATGTACGGTCATACAATAAGGAACTCTGCTGATGTGGTGGTTAAGGCGTCTGACTGCTAACCAAAAGGTCAGTAGTTCGAATCCACTGGCCACTTTGCAGAAGAAAGTTGAAGCCGTCTGCTTCTGCAAAGATTTACAGCCTTGGAAACCCAGTGGGGGTCGCCATGAGTTCAGACTGACTTGATGGCAGTGAGTTTGGTTTCTTTGGTTTGAGTCATACAATGGAGTAATACTCTAGCAATACAAATTAATTCGCTGCAGTCATACACAGAGAGGCCTGGGGACCTGCTCCCACAGGCATCAGAGCCTAGAAAGCCCCATGGCGTAGTTTCTGCTCCATCACACGGGGTCAGTGTGAGTCGGAATTGCCTCCATGGCACCCAACAACAACAGCTTCACCTCTGTGCCTCCGCCCCTTCACACACAAAAGGGGGACCGTGGAAGCAAGCCACACGAGGATGGCTTATGACAAGCCAATAGCAGAGACAAAATGAGGAGCCCAACTGGTATGGTGGTTAAAGTGACCAAAAGGATCTTAAAAGCTTGCAAGTGGCCATCTAGATGCAGTGACAGGTCTCTTCTCGTCCAGAGCAAAGAAGAATGAAGAAAACCAAAGATGTATGGAAACAATTAATCCAAAGGACTGGTACACCATGCGATCCTCAGCCTATATGACTATGAGACCAGAAAACTAGATGGTGCCTGGCTACCACTGTTAACCACTCGGAGGGGGATCTATGTAAGACATCCTGTACTGAGTAGAACAATGTGGAACAAAACTCAAAATCATCTTTAAAAAGAAAAGGGACCAGATTTGCTGGTCTGATAGAGCCTGATGGAACCCCTGAGACTATAGCCCCTAGTTGCAACCCTTTGGGTCTGGAATTGAACCCACTCCCATGGCTTCCAGCCAAACAAGATAGGCATATGAGCTGAACGTTTACATTAGGTAGATATACTCCTTGGAGAGATCAGTCATGGGAGAACAGAAGGGCTGTGTACGCACAGGGAGACAGCTCAGGGGACAGGAGTGCATGGGAGAGAAGGACACAGGGAAGAAATAACTTTCGGGAGGAAGTGGGAGGGGAGTTGTTGCATTGTGGTAAGTGGTAGTCAATGTCATGAAACAAAGTGTATGTGAACTGCTGCATGGAAAGTTAATTTGCTATGTAAACTTAACTATTTGCTGTGTAAACACACAAATCACAATAAAAATTTTTTAAAAAAGACCAAAAGGTCAGCAATTCGAATCCACCAGCCGCTCCCCAGCAGAAACATGAAGCTGCCTGCTTCCTTAAAGATTACAACCTTGGAAAGCCCATGGGTCAGTTCTATTATGTCCTCCAGAGTCGCTATGAGTTGGAATTGACTTGACGGCAGTGGGTTTGGTTTGGTTGTCTTTGGGAGACAAAATGGAATACTAAAAAATATAAATAAAGAATCCTCAATTAATGTAAAAAGCAGGAAAGAGAGAAAATGTTAAATGAAAATTAAGCATGGGAGACACTACAAAGAGTCAGAAGAAAGTTAGATGTGGTGGGCAGGGAATAAGCTTTAACAGGGTGATATTTATATAAAGAATTAGAGGCAACAAGGACATGACGTAAATGGACAGGAGAAGTCCATACACCAGGAGGGCAGGTGCCCTGTGTGAGAAGTCAGAGGGTAAACCAGGAGGCTAGGGGGCCCTGTGTGAGAAGAAGTCAGAGGAAAGCCACCTCACCTGGGATCCAGCAGAGGGCAGACCATCAACGGGCGTGCCTTCCTCTTGGGCGGCCTTGTTTCCTGCGAGGAGGAGAACTAAGAGAGAGAAAGGAATGACCACAGGCTTGTGTCACGTCTGGCAGCACCCATGGCCCCACCCACCCTATCATGCCATGGGAAGTGGTGGTGCTGGACTTCTCGTGATGTAAGAAAGACCACAGAACACAATTCTCAGCTCAACATGGCAACCCCCAAAAGAGAGCCCTGGTCATTCCCCAGCTCTGAAACTGTGGTAGTTATGTTTGCGTGTCAACTTGTCTGGGCCTGGTTGAGTGGCTGGGCAGCTGGTGGTAGTTATTCCCCATGATGAGACTGGCAATCAACTCTATGGTGGGATCTACCACAAGCAGCTGAGTAGCTGCCTTTGGGATGTGGTCTGCTTCCTGTATATAAGGAGAAGCCTTTGGGAATGGTCTCTAGCCTATAGCACGCTTGGACCCTGCATGTAGCCATGTCGTTGCTCAGCAGTCTGCTGTGCTCTGCTGACCTTGGGACTTACAATGGACTTAAGTTATGGCCTGCTGTGTGGTTTGGTAACATTGGGACTGTGCCTTTTTACCTGTCAACCTTGGGGCTTCTCAGCCTCAGCAGCCAGCAGCTGCCTGAGCGAAGAAAAGCCTCTAGCTCCAGTGGGCCGGGAACAGGAGGCAGAGCTGAACCCCAAGGTTGAGGGGCTTTCACCCAGGCCCTAGAGCCTGCCACTTTGAACTTGGACTTAAAGCCTCCAAATTGTAAGACTAAACTCCTGTTTGTTAAGGCCGTCCCGTCTGTAGTATATTTCTTGTCAGAGTGGCTCCAGGGAACCAGAACAGAAACCTTCAATAGCTCCCCACTATCAAAAACACCACTGCTTTCCTATCGCTTTAGACTCCTAGTGGCTCTACAGGACAGAGCAGAACTGCCCCACGGGTTTCCAAAGCTGTCGATCTTTATGGAAGCTGACTGCCACACCTCTCTCCCCCAGAGCAGCCAATGGGTTCCCAACTGTTAACCTTTTGGTTAGCAACTGAGTGCTTACCCTCTGCACCACCAGAGCTCCTTTTCAGTGGGTCCCCATTGCCTTCCAGATAAAGTGCTGGTGATTCCCAGCCTGACCGCCCCACTGATATCACCAGGGAACTTCAGTTCCCTCAACTGTAAAAGAATAGTAACACCTATACCTCAAAGGGAGAGCTGTGGTGAAAGCATTGGCCTGTGAATCAGAAGGTCCGCAGTTCAAACCCACCTGCTGCTCCACAGGAGAAAGATGTGGCAGTCTGCTTCCATAAGGATTGACAGCCCATGCAAAGGCTGATGAATCCCAAGATCAGCAGGCCATATCGTAGGCTGCTGGCTCAATTCCAAAGAACCAGAGGTCAGATGATGATGAACCCAATGCAGGATCCAGACTAGCGAAAGGCCCAAGAGCTTTGCCAGAACATCCACATATCTTGGATGCAGGCCACACCCTTGCAACTAGATGCTTACAGCAAGTCTCATCATGGAGGTGATTACATTATATCTGATTTCATCATGGGAGCTCTGGTGGCATAGTGCCTAAGGCACACAACTGCTAACCAGAAGGCTACTGGTTCAAATCCACCAGCTACTCCTCGGAAGGAAGATTGGGTGATCTACTTCTGTAGAGATAGCCTGGGAAACCCAAAGAGGGGTCACTATGAGTTGGAAACCACTGGGGATGGCAGTGAGTTTTATTTTTTTTTTTCTGGGACAATACTCTCTATGTCCACCAGAGGCAGTGTAACACTGTGATTAAGAATACAGACACTGGACCCAGCTAGGGCCTCCACCTGCATCCTGACTGTGCCCGTTACTAAACGCAGGACTAAAGGTAGGGCAGGGGGCAAGTCACAGAACCTTTTTTTTTTTTTTTAATTTAACTTTTCCTTGTGATTTGGGTGAAGGTTTACAGGGCAAATCCGTTTTCCATCAACAGTTCATACACATTTTGCTTCACGTCATTGACTGCAATCCCCACAACGTACGAGCTCCGTTCCCACCTCTCCCTGTGTTTCCTGTTTCCGTTCATCCTTCTTTCCTTCTGAGCTTTATCCCTGGGCAGACCCTGCCCTTTGGATCTGGAACGGTTGACTGTTCCAAGGAGCGGGCACCTCCCTGGTGTTACTGTGCACCTTATAGGCCTGTCTACCTTTTGGTTGAAAAGTTGAGCCACTGGGATGAGTTTGGTTCCAGGCCCAAAGGGTGACTAAGGGCAACAGTCTCAGGGACTCCCCCAGTCTCCATCTGACCAGTAAGCCTGGTCTTTTCTATGATTTTGATTCAACCTTTCTGTGCTTCCATTTCCTCATCTGTAAAACAAGGTCGAGAGCTATTTCACAGAGCCGTTCAGTAAACGTATTAACACGCATCAGACACTGAAGAGTACATTGTAAGCGCTCTCAGCAGGCCTGCCTCTAGCATTTTTAAAACACTCTGAGGGAATACTATGTACAGAACTGGATTAATCAAAGCCCAAGCTTGTGATAGGCTATCAGCATTGAGACATATTTATCTTGACTGTATTTGCTTATATACATTTAAATATAATTAATGCCTGGACTGGAACATTGCCAACAACTTCCCTCTCCCCATGTGCTTCTTACTCATCCGTGTGCCAGCCTTCTCCCCAGAGACGATTCCACTCTATGACCTTGGATTTGGACTCAGCGTTCTCTTGCCTTCTACACTCATGTGTGTGCATGTCGTTTCTGGGTGCCACAGAGTCGATTCCGATTCTCAGCGACCCCATGTGACAGAACAGAACTGTCCTGTCGGGTTTTCTCCGCTGTCATCTTTACAGAAGCAGATCCCAGGTCTTTTCTCCCACGGAGCCATTGGGTGGGTTTAAACCAGTGACCATTTGGTTAGTGGCCAAGCGCTAACTGCAGTGCCACCAGGGCTCCATCAGTGTGTGTGTGTGTCTACACCCAGACAGTGCCTTGACTGTA